TTTTGTTAACAAAAGTTAACAATAAAACTAACAAAGAATATAAAATTACTTGATTTCTAATTTGAGTAACTATTTCCCAAAATCTCAGAAAAGCTGATTTTGTTTTCTTATTCTTTGAGTTATTCCAAGACAATGTTCAATAATTGTGTATAATGAATTTTAGGCATACAAGTTTATATTAGGAATAGTTTATACAATTTCTATATTGAAGTAAATCTTACAGGTATCAGATTTCACTTTTCTTACTCACAACCCTCTTACTGCTCTATTTAAAACTATCACAGCTCAAAACAACATTACATGATGGTAAATTAAAAATGAGACTCTTTCTTGTATCTGAGGTTAAAAATAATGTAATTCTGAGAACCCTGACAAATCCATATTAAAAGAACAAGACAAAAATAACAACAAACAATTTTAATTAATAATAACTAGTTATAAAACATAATTAAAAAAGTATTAATTTTTATTTTGTTTATAGACAGCAGCTGATTCATTATCTCTATATTTTTAAGGAAGAGTCTTAGAGGTTTTATCAATAAAAACAAATGAAACTTCTTGGTCAACTTCATATATCTAATTACTACAAATTATTATGACAAATGACAACTTTTAAAGTGAGTTGAATGCTAGCTCCATTTAAATTACTTTTGCATGAAACACAAGAATGTGGTGAAATCCTGATAAGAACTTTCAGTCTAATTTAACTATTATTCAGTTATTAAGGTTTTGATATTCATTTGGATGAGGACATTTAAGATTTACTATTGATTTCTTATGGTAATTTGAACAGTGTGAAGTTGAGAAGTTGTCATCAATATAAAGCCTGAACAAGGTGATGACCCTACTTTTTTTTTTCTGACAGAAGAATAGAGCACTAAGATATGATAAAGAATCAATTCACAGATGTACATTAGCTTCTTAACAAGAGAAAAAGATGGAAAAGTAAAATAAATAGAAATATTTTATAATTTAAAACAGATTTCCAACTACAAAATACTTCTGGTTGGAGGAACTACTTGCACAGCACAAAACTACAACTTCAAAGACCAAAGTTTTAACCTATCATAATCATACATGAATTAGTGAAATATCATATAATTGAATTGGGAGACTGTTGAAGAAAAATAAATAATTGTGGAGAGAAGAACTTAATTTTTTGAGAATAATGACATTAGTAAAGTTTACTGATATATAATAAAAAAATTAGCAATGATTTTTAGATTGATTTACTCGTATATAACAGATATAACTTTTGACGCAAGTATACTATACCTATTGGTATTTTGTAGCTGTTAATTAAGGTTTTGAAAAAACTTCTGTTCTTAATGAAACATATTTGTTGTCATTTTAAGTATCTGTATATTTTTCAGCAACCAAAAACTATTACATACATAGTTTTTAGAATCATCACACCATCACTCAATTTAGGTTTTCTGCAACTCTGTGTCCAAAGGTCACAGTAACATATACAAAATTTAATATTTTGACCCCAGAACCATTTGATAAATTTTGTTTTTGCTTGTTTATAATATAATAAACAATCCTAGGGAAAGGTGTGCAAAAGAATAAACTAATTGAAAAAGTGTTTTAAAAAAAAGTTGAACAAAATAATTTCTATAATAAAATGGAAATAACCATGAAACAGATATAGATGAAGCCTATACTTCTGATGATAATTGTGTGTTCTGCACTAGGTGGCAGTAATATATTATTGGTTTTATTAACTGTATTTTTTTGTTAGCCAACAATCGTCTGCAAGAAGTTATGTTTCAGCACTTATGGCGTGATTGTGGCAATTGGACATCACTCATTGTCATGATTAGTAGTCTAATTAGTAATTTTTTTAACATTGGATAAGAAAGAAAATTAAAAAATCAGACAAGGAAAAGAAACTTTATAATTAGACTTTGGATATCATTTATGGTACAGAACTAACCATAATAATGATGGAAACTATGCGTAATTTTGGAGAATTTGAATATACCTTGCATATCAACCTTCTTGTAATATTATAGTTTTATTTAAAATTTTTTCTTTGTTCTGTATATGTACAGGTTCCATGTAACATGTTGTCAAGAAAGCTGTTGATTTCATTCCAAAGCTATCTTTGTTCTCTTTTGTTGTTCTTTGAATGGATAATATTTGTTACTCCTTGGGGAGGTTAATCTTCAGTACAATATTTGTGAGGATGTAAGGGCATCATGCGACTTTTGTTGATGAAATATAGGAAATTTTTGAAAAAATAGGAATTCAAAGCCAGAAATAAAGGAAAATGTAGAAGATACATCTATGTGCATTTTAAACAAGATATTGAACAAAAAAAATTGCCTTCTCCTCCATTCACTTCTAATTTTAATTAAGAAAATTAACACTTTTATCTTTACCCATTCTTTGTTTATAGTTCCTATAAACAATTTTAACAGATCTTGACACTTCCTCTCGAGTGAAATTTAATGGCTGAAGCTTGTCAGGATCTGAAAACTTAACTCTGCCCTTGACAGTTCTTACAGCATTCACATTTTTCTCCCCAATGGCAATTCTGTCTATGGTGACAACATATGTATTAACAAACAAACTTCTTTCTATTGTAAAGCTTTTTTAAAGTAGACTTGCTTCCAGAAATGATCCATTCTTTCCCTGTCTTTTAAACCATCTTCTGTTTGGTACACTTTCCACTCATCTTTAATGTTAGTTATAACATTCTCTTCAAACATCAATTGTCTAGATAAAATGTTTACATCTGTGACAGAAGCTTGATCAATCATTTTTGCTGGAGACGAACAAGCTTTGATAATCGTTTTTTCAAAAGAAAGCCTAATGATCAGGTACTTTGATACTGTAATGTAGAATAACCATATTCAAAAAATGTCTTTGTGCTGGGTCTCTGTTTTCATCTTGGAAAACTCCTGTCTTGCTTCCCAACAGACAATGTCTTGATCACCTAGCCAGTTTTTAATGCCAATATCTAGATTTTTCAGGTCATCTGGCACTATGCCATTAACAATATCTGCTTTGACAAACCATCTCAGAATGGTGCAAACCAACTTTGTCATTTGACTGTATAGCAGGTAAATCATAGGTTGATCAGTTTGGAACTCTGACAAAATCTTCAAACAGAGGGATAACTGACAAAAGAAAGATTAATTTGACTTTTGTTTCGGGTCACCTTATTGCTTCCCTTATCTCATTGAAATTGATACTGTTATGTCTCCGATCGTTAGTTAATTTTCCGGAAATTTGTTCCAACGAAACTTTAGCGACACAAGTCCTTTCTTAAATAAAACTGGTTTATTCTTTCTGAATATAACTTTGCAATACACTTAATTTCAACAGTCGCGCTGTAACAAACGCTATAATTCTCAACGAATGTCTCACGTGCTCGACTCAACA